TCATGTACGATTCTTGCACACTTCGTTACTTCACAATGTTTGGCAGCACCCCAATGAACAACTAGCTAGACAAGTGCTCGATATCTGCAAAGCGTTTGCCCATAACACGCATATGACACGCACACCAGTCAAGGCATCAACCTTAACAGAAGTATCGACTGCTCTGTCAGCATTAACTCATGCACGCATTGCACACGAAACACTTGCACAAGTATTGCAGTATCTTTGTCCTGGCATTGAGTCTCAGCAAATGAATGATCAGTGAGAATTTCCAGGAACTGATACAGTTCATACGGGTTTACTGGTTCTGACAAGGCCAGGGCGTCTTCGTGGGCAAGAACCTGTGCCACTCCAATCTGCAGATGGCCAGTGGATGCTGTTGTTTGGTTTGTCTATCGAAAGACTTGCACTTGGGTATCATGTCGAGGTGTCTTTTCGGTGGACTCCCGCATTCTACTGGCAACCCACTGGAACAAGGCTTCATAACAGGCCATCATCACAGATGCGACTACTTATTTATGCCACTGCGAATAAACTGCAAAAAGCAAGAGACGATGTTTTGCAACGATGTGGAGGCCAGTCAAAGATTGTGTGTCTGATCCATCATGAATATCTTTTGCGTGAGCAGAAGGGCTGCGCCATTCATTGTTGTGTGGCAACATGCCAAACTGGTATTCGATGGCGCTGTCCACATGGTTTGGGTCATGTTCAGTGTGATGTTGGCATGTGTCTCCATCATTTCAAGCTAGACACCCATGACAATCAAGACAGACCTATTACTGTTGGATGCTATGGTCCAGATCTACACCATGGACATGTTCAGGTACCTCTTGTCCTTGATCATAACGAAGAAAACAATGGTGCTGAGGACATTCTTGCTCTTTCATTCAACAACACTGATTTGGACGATATTCCTTGTCATCCACTTGAACGCTATGCCATTGGAGGAAATGATTATGCATCCGACACATGCCCCAACGTCACATCTGCAACAGTTAATGTCGGCTACCTTTCGGAGCGTACCTCAAATGCAACACTTGGACATTACTTGCTCAATAACCATCTCCAAGTGTTAAACCACACGACCAAGTCACAGAAGCCACCTGTCGCTGCACAGAAAATACTTCAGCAAATCTGTGCATGCACACCAGAATGGACAGTGCCGCTGCTATATCCAGAGGCCCAGCTATTTCCACGCATTTTCTGGAATATGCATGCAAACGCAGTTACAGGTGCATTGCCTGCCATCATGTTCACTGATGCATAGGGTTGCAAAGGGTCGGAAACTTTCCGGTAAATTTCCGGTATTTTTCCGGAAATTTTCCATGGGAAGTTAAGCCCGGGAATTTTGGGAATTTTGCTTAAATTCATCAAAAAAAGTAGCTTATAACAGTGAACCTTTTTTGTGGGATACACATAAGGCAATTCTAGGTCTTGTGGCATATTTTGGTTAAACTATCCCCAATTCAATGGAATTGCAACCCTCTGCATGCACAGTCAGTGCATTCTTCCATCACATGTACAGCTGATTCTCAAGATCTTGCACACTAAATAGTAATGAGATGCAGTGGCAGATCCAGGAAANAAAACACTTACGTGTAATAATAGAATAATCACTGCCTTGCCCATACATTTATACATGTCATTCTACATCATTCACCGTCATTATCATTCATGATCATTGATTATCGTCACTTCCACCACCACCACCATCCCCATCTTGCATATATCACAATCACCGGTTACCATCAGGCAACATTATCATATCTGTCGATAGTTTGAAGCTCAAGGAGCCTCCGACTTCGACTTGTGCGTTGGAATTAACGCAGGTTTGAAACCATTGGGACTAGAATTCTTCTTCGATATAGCCGAAATTCGACTTGTGAATTTAGGCTTAGTCGAAGATTTATTAAAGTAAAAACAAAAGGAAAGATCGGGACTTTTGTGGAACTTCGACTTGGCAGGTTTTCCAACTTGTGCAATGTCGCCTGTATTGATTTATCTATAGACTGAAGGCTGACCTCTCACTAACGTTACTTCTCTCTCTCTCCTTACTTTCCTCTTACTTTCTTTCTTCTTACTTACGTTCCTCTGTGCGGCGGCTCATTATGGATCCTGCAGGAGAATCAGAAGAAGCTGCAGCTGCAGGCGATGGCACTGGAGAAGCAGGTTGGAGGTCTGACCCAGGAAAGCACGAACCTACTGAAGGTGCGACTCGCTGAGGTACGGTTCTAACACACACTCACTCACCTACGCACCGTGGACCCACACACACGCACGCACGTACGAACGCACACACACACACACCCACCCACGCCCACGCACGCACGCACCCACATTCACGCGCACGCACGCACGCACCTATTGAAGGTGCGACTCGCTGAGGTACGGTTCTAACACTTACACCCACACCCACGTGCTGAGATGGTGTGGAGAGTTGTCCCTCCATCCGTTCTTTGCATGATGCTGTGCAGAAACCATGCGAGCGTGCGTACCCGTGTGTACACACTGTGTATGTAACGTGTCATGATGAGTGTGTGTGTTGTATTGTCTTGCAGCTGGGCATAGTGGCGTGCACACCTGCAGATCTACTTGCCAAGGCGAAGGAGATAGTTGCCAAACACAAAGACTTGCAACAGGAAGCTTCGAAGCTACAGACTACCATTAACGGCCTGGAGCTCGATAATCAAAAATTGGTGAGCGCATAATTACCATGTTAATTAATCAACGAGCGCATAATTAACTCTATTAATGAATCCTTGTGATAACTAACGTCGTCGAAAGGCAAAACGCAATCTCCGCTAGCGAACGCATTTTTCCGAATTTTGTCAATCAATTCAATCATCGTCGGGGTGGGGGCGATGGCGGCGCTGTTGCCATAGCGACGATCTCTTACCTTATCGTCATGGTGACAGACGTTTCTTTGTCTTGCAGCTGCAGCAGCGGCAGCAGCAGGACGACATGGCACCACGGCAGCAGGAGAAGCAGCAACAGCAAGCAAGGGAGAAAGAGAAGGTTAAGGAGAAGGGTAAGGAGAAGGAGAAGGGAAAGAGGAACGGACAGCTTAACGGCGTGTGCCCCCCTCCCGCTCTCGACACGACGACCCAAGAGTTCATCGCAAAGGAGATGACCTCTGTGATGGAATACCGTAAGAAGCTGTTTGCCAAGGTCGGCCGGCTGGAGTCAGAGGTCATGCTACTGGAGAAGACAACACAGGAGAACAGCGAGAAGGCTTCGGCCTCTAACCGCAAGCTGGGAAAGTCCTCCTCCTCTTCCCCGCCCTCCTCCTCTTCCTCTTCCGTCTCCTTCCCCTCCCCCGCGGCGGCTGCTGCCGACCAGCTAACGACGGTCGCGATGTTTGCTACGTCGGAGAAAGAGCTGAGCGTTGATCAGCGTCACGAGCTATACCGCATGAGCGTCTCCACACCCCTGACCTTCCCTCTCCCTCTCCCTCTCCCCCTCCCCTACGCGATGGGCTTTCCCTTCGTGAAGACGGAGCCCCGGAGTCCGCGGGGGAGGTCCCCGAAGCGGGAGCGCGAGCGGGAGACGCGGGAGCGAGAGCGGGAGAAGGAGGAAAATCTGAATGCGTTTGAGCAGCGAGTGAAAAGCATCATCATGCACACGCTCAACGAACCGGCGCCGGCGCCCCCCGGTGGCAGGCGTGCCACGCGAGAGAAGTCGCAGCGCAAGGGAAGCACGTCCAGCGTGGGATCGAGCTGCAGCGACCCCACCTCTCTGCCTGACCCCCTCCCCCTCCCCATCCCCACGCAGCAGCAGCACCAGCAGAGGGCGCTGCCGATGTTTGCGACTCCGTTCGCGGCAGACGCGCGATCGCTGCTTCAGGCGTGCGATACTCCGCCACCGGCGTCCGTCGCCCCGGCGATGCGACTGGAGAGCGTGTCGCCCGCGGCAACCGACCGCGATGTGCACGAGTCTGCGTCGTTGCCGGCGGCGACCGCGTCGGCATACGCGATGAAGCCGGATTACACGAAGTCTTCGCCCGCGAAGCTGGCGCTGAAGCGGCATCTCAGCGAGGAGGCGTCGTCAGGGAGACGCGAGGGCGCCACCGGCAGAGGCTGCCGGGGCGTTGCCACGGCGACCGACTTAGAGCCGGGAGAGATCGTCCGCGCACCGCCTGCTGGTGGCTCCCTCACGGCGGCGAAGGAACGCCGCCTCTCGGACGCGTCGTCTTGCTCCGACCCCGAGGTCAGGGTCAAGGTCACTGGGTCCGGTCGCGGCGGGGCGGACGGTGGCTCCCCCGCGGGGGAGGCGGAGAGCGAGCGTCATGGCGGCGCTGCAGCGACGCGTTATAACGGAGTGATGAAGGGAACGCCCGTCGTGCAGCTGCTGCGCCTAGGTAGCGGTGGCGCCCCCTCACAGCGCAAACCGGAGGGCGACGACGACCGCAAGGAGAGGTCGCCGAAGAGGAGGCGTGGCGGGAAGTCCCCGAGCCGGGGAGGAGGAGGAGGAGGAGGGGGAGAGGGGAAGAGTCCCAAGCGACAGACAACGGCGGAGGCGGTGGCAACGATGATGGACAATGCAACGCGACCGCTCGCCATCACCGCCATCTCGTCGCCCGACAGCCCCCCGATACTCCTGTCACCGGCCGAACACGCAGCGCCCCCTGCCGCCGTCGTCGTTGCAGCAGTGAGTGCGGGTGAGTGGTCTAGTGTGTCCGCGCGTGCCTGCGAAAACTCTGCCCGCGTGTAAAAATAACGCGCATTATGATTACGTAAAATTCCCTGCGTGTAGGCGTGGCACGCTTGCAGGCAAAATTCTCCCTGCATTCAGAAATAACGAGCTGGTAAAGTTCCCCGCGTGTAGAAATGACGTGCGTATCAGGAATGTAATTAAGCGCTTGTATATGAACTAGCTTTATAACGTAGAATCACTGCATCCGCCTCGCACGTCCGTTCACACGGGCGAAGCCACATCACCGTGCAAGCATTCATCATGACCGGTGTGGAATGCGGTAATTTCACAGCTTCTGTTTCTGTTCTGTCTGCATGGGCAGGTGATTGCGTGAAGAAGGAGAAGGAGGAGGAAGAGGAAGAGGAGGAGGAGGAGGATGCAACGTGTGTGAGCAACGCAGGAGCAGAGAGCAGCCGGTGAGTCATCGTCGCAGAGTCAGGGGAGGGGACGAGTCATCGATATGTCGACTTATCATAATACAAACCTCGACGATACACCTATCGATACGTTTGATTGTTCACGATACTCTTGTCGATACGTTTGGTTGTTTACGATATATGTATCGATACTCTACTGATTAAAATTCATTTGATCCAAAAATAAAAGAAACGTATCACAATTCACAATTCCATTGTAGTTGTTTACTAAGGCCTTCATGATACTGATTGTAAGTGTACATGTGATTGGTAGATCCCAGTTAAGCTAGGTAGTTTCTCTGGAAATTATCGCAACACGTATTGTATCATGAAGTCTGTATCGTATCGTGACGGCTGTATCGTGATACGTATCGTATCGTGAAGTCTGTATAGTATCATGAAGGCTGTATCATGATACGTATCGTATCGTGAAGGCTGTATCGTGTTACGTATCGAATCGTGAAGGCTGTATCGTGAAGGCTGTATTTGTGATACGTATTGTATCGTGAAGTCTGTATCGTGATACGTATTGTATCGTGAAGGCTGTATCGTGATACGTATTGTATCGTGAAGGCTGTATCGTGATACGTATTGTATCGTGAAGGCTGTATCGTGATACGTATTCGTATCGTGAAGCGTATGCGTGATAATTGTATCATGAGGCTGTATTCGTGATACGTATTGTATCATGAAGTCTGTATTTGTGATACGTATCGTATCATGACGTCTGTATTGTGATACGTATTGTATCATGAAGTCTGTATTTGTAATACGTATCATATCGTTAATGATGGACAGTAAAAACTCGCGAGTAAAAACCTGCATTTTCCCAAGTCAGCCTAAACAGGTTCTTACATAAATGGTACTTAGCACAAATTGGGCTATTTAGGTTCTTTAATAGGTTCTTATTTCTAAAGAAAACTTCCCAAATTGTTTTTCATACGGTATAGTTCCCCTGGTTCGAATGTTCATCATTCTCCCGACTCTTCCCCATATGCTCGATGTGTAGCCAGTGGAGATTATAAACAATATCGATAACAGGTATTTATTGTGTAATTGCAACAATAACAATTCTCATTTGCATTTTCCATCTTGGCATTAGCAGTGTTAATAAATGACAGTGATAACGCACCCGCGTCTTCAAAAAAAGATCCAAAATGTTGCTCTCCATCTTATTCGCCAAGTGCCCACATCTTTTTTATAACGATTTTGGAAAATAAGAACCTGTTTCAAATTTTAGGCTCAACAGGTTCTTGTTAAGGAGGGGTATACCTGGGCCAATTTTTCGCCTAACAGTTTCTTCAATAACTAGGTTTCTTACTCACGGTTTTTACTGCCAATTGCAAATACAGAGATTAATATCATATGTCCGTTGTGTTTGCAGCGATGCCTCGGACTGTAGCGATCGACCAGGAACAGCAGTCAGCAGCAGCAGGCAAGCCGCGGATTGTGGAGGAGAGCGGGAAGGGCAGACCGGCCGCCTCAGCGACTGACAACGTCCCGGTAGATGGCGGCCAGCAGTCAGCAGCAGCCGCCGCCACACAGCCGTCGCCCAGCGCTCCCAGCCACATTCTTCACACGTACACATGGCCGGCTCCGCAACCCGCCCACAGACGGGCCCCTCCCGCACGCACACAAGGGCCGCATCACCCCCCCGTCACCGCCGGAGCCACCAGCCCAACGCGCCTCGCGTGAGCGACCGGTGACACCCTCTGGATCGCCGCGACCCGTTCGAGACGGACCGGGCATCATTCTCCGACGCCGAGCCGTGACAGCCAGCGTTGACTTGCCGCCGTACTGCCCGCGAGCGTGGCGGACAGCTTCAGCGCCTGGTGCGCCGCCACACCGACAGCGGGCGACGGGCGGCGGGTACGGTGGCGCCCCCGTGAGATGCAGGCAGTGGCGTAACTTACGACCGAACAGCATTTCAAAAAGAAGTTTTAGCGGTAAAGGTGCGGGGCAGTGCTGGCCAGCCTCTTGCAGCAGCTACCGCAAGCGCAAACAACTCAACAAACAACTACAGCAGGCAACAGCAGCGCACAGCAGACACGGCGCTTGCGCAGCAGCAACAGCAGCAGCAACAGCAGGCAAACCAGCAACACAACAGCAGCAACAGCAGCCAGCACACCACAGCACAACAACCGATGCAGACAGCAGATGAGAGCAATCACTACACGAACCGAAGCCTGTGCATGCAAGCAGGCACACAACTACCACGCCGGGCGCCAGGCGCAGTCATTGCAAGCCAGTGCAGACAACGCGAGAAGTGAGGCAACGCGAGGCAGTGAGCACGAAGCGAGGCCAGTGAGACCAAAGGCGAGACAGGTGAGCGCCACGATCAAGATAGTGAGACAACACGAGATAGTTGAGAGTAGTTGAGCTGTGTCGCAACTTGCATACAGACGTTCTCCAATCTGATCGTCATGGCAACTCTCAGCAGCAGCCAGCAACAACACACAATAGCACAGCAGCTAGCAGCATCAACAGACAGCACCAACAAAACAACTACAGACAACGAACAGGCAGCAGCAGCTACAGCAACAACAGCAGCAGCAGCAGCTACCAGCACACACGGGCAGCCAGCAGCGCTACCAGCAACAGCACTACAGCAGCCACAACAGCAGCAGACAGGCAGTGACGCAGTCAGCGACTGATGGCACTGCGGTCCGTTGCACGTCGTATTCTCCGCCCCGTCCCAGCATTCCGCAACCCCCTGCGCTCACTCGCTCGTGCGCCCGCGCAACCCACTCGTCACGGGATTCGCCGCCCGCGCCTCGTCGATGCCGCTCTTCCCCTGCCGCCGGCAGCGCGCCGCGAGCCCTCTGGTGGCGCCCCCTACATCTATGTCACTAACTGCGCTCGGAGGGCGGGCGTCTCCCACGCGGGCGGCAGCACGGGCAGAGGGCGGGCGACGCAGCCGGCAGCGAGGACGAGGAGGAGGATGCTACTCGGCACTTCCGTATCCACAAGCCACGTTCGCGTCGCCGCGGGGAGCGCATCCACTGCAGCGACCCATGCTGCTCCGCAGCAGGGGCGCCAGTAGGAACCTGCCCCTGTCCCACCCGCCGACCTCCCACCCCCGGGGACGCGTTGCCGGCTACGGCATGACTATTCGCGTCGGCGTTGGTCAGGCGTCGGCCGGCAGGTGGAGCCACGCTGGCCTTTCGGTCCTGTAGGGGATGTGAGCGGGGCGGCGGCTACCGGCCGGCGTCGCTTGCTGCCTCGTGCTGCGGCGTGGGACGGCGGGCCACTCATCGACATTACATCATGTCTGGCTACGACAGGAATGCGTCGCCACGCAGTCGATAGACACGTGGCGACGCCCTACAGCGCTGTCGGTGGACACGGTGCGCCCCAACGCGCCTGCCAATGGACATGTAGCGCCCTCTACCCAGCTGGTTAGCCACGTGGCGCTCCCTCCTGCTGCCAATAGAATGTAGCGGCCCCCTACCTCAGCTGGTAGGCACAATGCGCCCCGCATGGCAGAGAGAGCAGAGAGCCTGATGAAACACTACATGAACACTGCTGCGACGTCTGATGCTTGTGTGTCGTGCTAGTGCGTAACTGCATACGTTACACAACAGGCCATCGAGTCACAGCTACCATAACACTGCCACAGTCCATCAGGAATTTATACCTTCTCCCTGTTTTATAGTGATTGATTGATTGATCTGCTTGATTGATTGATTGTGATGACTGACTGATTACTTGTTAGACTTTGTGTTTTTTTTCCTTTTCTTAGTACTTAGAGTAGTTGTTTTGTGTACCCGTGAGCAATCGTTTCTCGACGGTGAAACGCGTCCTTTGAATGCGTTGCGTGTACAAGCATGAATGTATATTTTCTTGTCCTAATTTTAACTGGGCCGTGTCGTGTGAGACCTTCGTGAAACTGTCTGCATGTGTACACCCCATCAACGTATATCACTCCGATGTTTTTAACCGGGCTGCGATCGTATGGATGATGCCAATCAATAAACGACTCGAATGCTTCATCGTCGTATCTCTCTGCGAAGTTTTGTGCGTTCCGTCGTTGCGTGTTTGCTTTGATACTGTTCACGTTATATATGGCGCCACGCATGGCCCGGTGTGAGTGTGTTGACCGATTGACCGGAGTTGCGTGGTTTCTCTCTCTCTCTCTTTTGTCTCTCTCAGTGCTCACTGTCATCTCGTTGCTCTGTGAGCATGTCTGGTCATGGCAGAGTGGTGGCGATGCAGAGGAAGATAGAGGACCAACTATGGATGGCGTCATGTCTGTGATGGGCCAGGGATTGTGCGTCGATCCAACGTGGAACGGCACCTCCGCGGCGGTTACGCGTGTAGCGCATCTGTTTACCCTCCGCTTCTTGCACTCTAACGACTTTAGCTAGCAGTGTGTGCCATTGCATGTGTGTGCGGTGCGTTGTAGCTCATCGTCGTGGTAGTTCGTTGCTCGTCTAGTAGACGAAGCGCATTATCCTGCACGTGTGTTCTAGTTGAGTGCAGCGTTGTTAGCTCTGTAACATTGTTAGCTCTGTGCATTTGTTAGCTCTGTGTTGTTGCTTCTGCATTGTATAGGCTCTGTGGCATTCTCATGCTCTCCGCATTGTTTAGCTCGTGGCCATTTGTTAGCTCTGCATCTTGTTAGCCTGTCATTGTTCAGCTCTTGCATTGTAGCTTGCAGTTGTTAGCTGCTGCTGTAGCTCATTAGTTACTCTGTGGCATTGTTGCTCTGTCATTGTTAGCTTCTGCATTGTTAGCTCTGGCATGTTGAGGTCTGTGCATTGTTAGCGTCTGGCTATGTAAGCAGTGCGTATTCTTTATCTCCTAGCAACTGTTTATCTACGCACAGAGAGAGGGAGAGAGGGTAGTTGGTTGGGTGGTGGGCTGGGTTAGGTTCAGATGTAGGGGTTGGGTCCGGGGAACGTGGTGTAGGGTTAGGTGTGTGGTGGGTAGGGAAGGTTAGGGTAGGTTGCAGGAAAGTGTGTGCAGCGTGCTTGCAACTGTGCTCGTTTCGCCATTTAGTAAGAACGCCAACACCAGCGACGAACGTCACTTGCTTCCAACGTTGTGGCGCACCTATACATTGTTTATGATGATCGGTGAATGTGTAATTAATATTATGTCATCTAGAATTGCGAAGGGAGGAGGAAAATGCCAGCGGATGTACGAGTTGTATAGAAGCCTGTTGCCAACGTGTGGTGCAATACATGGCCACTCACCGTCCGTGTAAAATAACTCCCACCGGTGAAGCGAGAGAGAGAGAGAGTAGAGACTGACGTCAGTAGTGTTGTAAGCAGTCTTCAGACCCATAGACATCGCGTGCGTGCGTCCGGCGTGCGCTGCGTGCCAGGGAAAATTTCGTATTCCTATTCGCTTGTTCAGTACTTCGTCACTGCCAATTGATTACTGTTGACTGAACGTCGGTGACTGTATCGTTCTTGGTTATGCGTGTGTAGAGGACAAGTGGAGAGGGAGTGGCAGGGGGGGGAGGAGGGGGTGGAGGCGGGCGCGGGGGGGGGAGGCAGGCCGCAGGGCGAGCGCTAGGTTATCTGTCGATTAAGCATCTAGTTTCATATTGTTGTAAAACCTCGTGTGGATGCGGATGGAAGACTCGCGAATTGACGGCTGCTAATATTAATCAAAACGGTTAAACCAGCTACTGTCGGCCTCCTACTGCCTATGCACGCACGATAATACAAACAATGGAACTGACATGCGTAGATATGTCACGCACGCACGCACGCGCCACGCACGCCATGTAATCCGGTAGGCGTGCAGCGTGGTTCTCCCTCGTCCAGCATGAGTTTTGGCAGTCGTAGTAGAAATTTATTGTGCCTAGCAGCTGCAGCCTCGTGTCACGTGATCCACACTCCACTACTCTACTCACTCCTCAATCACTCCACTCACTCTCACTCCTCACTGACGCCGCCCACGTATCCCACCTGTCGCACGGCGATGGAAAACTACAGGTGTACAGGATACAATAGTTCAGTTTTGCAGGTGGCGTCCTCTGCTAGGCAATGAACGGACAATGACCTGCACGCGAGGCCGTCATACATTCTAGGTTGGCCGGTGACGACGAAGTATGATGTAATACCGAATGCCGTGCAATTAATTGGCAGCATGAGGGGAGCCTAGCAAGTAAGTGTGTGTGTGTGTCGAACGTGACCGGGTGGTGACTGGCGCGCGGGTTAGGCGCCGAACGTGGAACTGTAATGGCGACTACGGTCGGCCCGCCGCAGCACGCGCGCAGCTATCTCTCGCGACCCGCCGCGTGACGTCACGTCGCCGGCTGGTTACCGTCGTAGCGACTCATACGCCGGCGAATCTGCCATCCATGGTTGTGCTCTACAAACGCCGTCCTCTCAGGTGTGTGGCGCGCGTAGCGCCCCTACCAGGGTGCGTGGCCCGGGCGGTGCAGGCGCCCCTACCAGCGCGCGTCGCCGGCGGTAAGCGCCCCTACCCGGCGCATCGTCGTCTATCGGCGGTGTCGATTTTGTAAGAGGAACATAGC